AACAGAGAACCGGGGGGTCCTCTGAAAAACTTACCTTTTTTTCAGCTTTCCCACTTGGAGAGATTTCAGAGAAAAACCAAAGGGCTGTAGCGCTGTGGGAGTCCAGAGCACCCACACTGGTTTCCTCAGCAAATTCTGGTTATGTTTCTAAACAACGGGAAATTTCCCAAACACCAAGAGAGAACAAAACCCACACAAGCCACCAGAAACCAGGCAGAACTCAAGGATACTCCAGCAATCCCACTCTGCTCCTCAAGCCATGCTCCGCACAAACCCAAACAAAGGAGGCCATTTACATCATCACCGATGAATTTCTTTACCCCGAGAAAACTTATAAAAGTGCCACTTGTGAGTGCCATTATGATTTCCAGCAACCTCCTGCTGATGTGGAACAGACTTTCCAAGCTTCTCCACATACACTTTGTCCTCGAGTACCCCACGCTTGCTGGAAAAAAAAGGAACAAAATGCACTCAAGAGCCACTTGCCTATTCCCGATTTGGGTACAATGATGCCAGATGCAACATCATTTTTCCCTCCCTGTGCCAGGGCTGGTGTGTGCCACGTCCGGCCACCAGAGACAACGTGTTTTCCCCCGAAGGAACGAGAACCTCACACCCAGCCCTTTGGTTTTGTAGCCCCGGTGAGGATCCATCTCTACAAGCCATAATGCATTAAGCAAGAAAGCAATATTCAAAACCAAGTCCAGAGCTGGCAGCAGAACTTGGATCACCCAAGGCTCCTGCTGGAAATCCTCTGTAGTGTAACAGTTTATTTTGTGGGCAGGAAGAGATCAAGAAAATTAATTAAGTCGGAGTAAGAAGGAAAAACTCCCCCTAAAGTGAGTAACTGCACTAAAGCCACAGCCGTGAGCAGGCAAAGTACGTTTTAGGGGCTACACTTTTTCACTTCCACAGTCTTGGAAAAGAAAATGGAGTGACTTTGTTCTGTATGCATATTGTCCACCATTTGTTATTGTCTGTCTATTGATGCTTACTTGAAAAACAAAATTTAATTAAACCCCACAGTACTGCATTGCCTGCCTTTGAAATATGCCCGCATTAGTGGATCATTACAGTAAATGAAATACAGCTTCATATCATATTTTTCAAATAACGTCCTAAAACATTTACAAATTAAATAATACTCTTGCGGAGAGAAATTAAGAGACACAGCATTTAGCAAGGGCAAAGAGATGTTTACAGATGAAATCTGAAATGAGACATGGAGGCAATGAGGCAGAGAGGTGCCAGAGGGCTCTTCCAGACCTTGTCGAGACAGTTCTCCATGTACCAGAAACCAGACGAAGAAAGAGTGTGCCAGTGCCAGGTGAGCAGAAAGGGCAGTGTCCCCAGACCCCCAAAGATGACAGCACGAGCTCGTTGGGGGTCTGGAAAGCACTGGCCCAGCCTGCCATGCCAGGGAGGTACCCGCACTCCTCCGCGTGCAGCAAAGCTCAATGCATCTACACACCCTGTGGAAACCCGGCCAGAGCCACACCAGTCATAGGAAGTGAACCCTTGCAACAGAACCAGAAAATCCAGACTCCCAACGGGCCAAGAAAAAGATTGCAGAAAGGTGCTCTTGTGGCAGGATGAAAAATATCGTGCAAATATTTAAAGGGAGGAGAAAAACCAAGGGAGCTTTGGTTTCTCAGGGCAGGTAAAAGCACAAGCAGATCAGTGAGTCAGCGTCGGTCGTAGCAGCCATGCCTGATGTTGAACAAAGCAAAGCAGCATGTTAAAAAGCAAGTGAATATTACATGAGCCTTACAGCTCAGGCTTGAAGAGATCCAAGATTTGTCTTTTCCTTAATAGCATCTGGGGCGATGCCAAGAGTTCTTTGACAAATTATTTACTCTGAGAAATCATTTTCCCTAAACAAGTGTAGCCCGTTACCGCATCCTTCTTCTCGTGAGCCTGGGAAAGGCTGTGCCCTGCAGCTCCTCGGGCCCCATCTCCATGGTGATGCACCAATGGAGGTACCTGCTCCAGCAAGAGGACAAACCTCCCCACAGAAAAGGCTGAAGCTGCCAGAGGTCTCATCGGTGTGAGCCCTGGAGAAAGGTGGGCTGCATGGGCCGAGCGTGAGCAGCACTGGCAGGCAGGGCTTTCATGAGATGCAGAGCGTGCTGGCCTTTGAGCAGGCTGGAAATTAAGAAAACCTTCCAAGGGCACCTCCAGATCCATTTTACAGGAAGATAGTAAAAGATTCACAGCTGCTGCCCATGCCAGGGACCAGCAACTGACAGCCCAATTCCCGTAGGTCCTGCTGAGTTCTCATCAGCATGTGAATCTATTATTTAGAGGAAAAACGTTCTGCCTGGCATATAATCATTGAAAGCTGTCAAATTCCAGCCTAGGCAGGGTTTCCTCAGCAGAAAGGATCCTTCCCGGTGAATCAGGGACTCCTCACCAGCTCCACGTCACAAAATCAAAACAAACAGCTGCGACAAGGGGCATCGCACTGTGCGTCGCCTTATCGGGCCTACAGCAGCAACGGGCACTGGGACCCCCAGACACCACACAGCACGTCACAACATTGGGCAAAAGCCACCCAAACACAGCAAATGTGGGTCAGGATCCTTCCTAAGGAAAAATAGGGCGGCAGAGGGATTTTGGGAGTGAGATAACAGAGCTGGCACACAGAGCACCCTCTCTGCACTGGGGAAGGAGACTCCGACAAGGCTGTGCGGGTCCAAGCTGTGGAAGGCAAAGCCAGCACAGCACCCCTGCACCAGCAAGATGGGTGCCTGTCCCCCTCGCCTCCCACACCACAGCTTCCATCGGGATGAACAACCCCCATCCGCTTGCTTGTGAACCCTCGCCTTTCTGCACTGCAGGGGGAGACTCCGACAAGGCTGTGCGGGTCCAAGCTGTGGAAGGCAAAGCCAGCACAGCACCCCTGCACCAGCAAGATGGGTGCCTGTCCCCCTCGCCTCCCACACCACAGCTTCCATCGGGATGAACAACCCCCATCCGCTCGCTTGTGAACCCTCACACCCACTCTCCCGCCAGCCGACAGCACGAAAGCTGCCCAGCAGCACTCAGGCAGGGGTTCCAGGCTGTCTCGGGGAGGTTTTGCCACTTAAAAGCAGCACAAGCGGCTTGGACAAAAGCTGAAGATTGCTGAGCCTCCTGCAGCCTTCCCCAGGTGAGAGCAATCTGTGAGCGCGTCCAAACCGGGGCACCGAGACTGCAGCACAAGCTTAAAAACGACCAGGCTTCACAATCACAGGTATTTCAAGAAACGCGCTCATCGCCGACTCGCCAGCACTCTTCCCCACCTCTGACCGCACCAAGAATGAGGTCTGAATGTTTAAAACAGAGCCCTCAATATAAGAAGGATATAGACCTGATGGAGAGGGTCCAGAGGAGGGCCAGGAGGATGATCAGGGGGATGGAGCACCTCTGCTACGAGGACAGGCTGAGGGAGCTGGGGTTGTTCAGCCTGGAGAAGAGGAGGCTCCAGGGAGACCTAATAGCAGCCTTCCAGTACCTGAAGGGGCTACAGGAAGGCTGGGGAGAGCCTGTTTAGAAAGGCCTGCAGTGACAGGACGAGGGGAAATGGCTTCAAGCTGGAGGGGAACAGATTTAGATTGGAGATTAGAAGGGGGTTCTTTACTGTGAGGGTGGTGGAGCACTGGGACAGGTTGCCCAGGGAGGTGGTTGAGGCCCCTTCCCTGGAGATATTCAAGGAGAGGCTCGACGAGGCCCTGGGCAACCTGGTCTAGTTGGGGGTGTCCCTGCTGACTGCGGGGAGGTCAGACTAGATGGCCTTTGGAGGTCCCTTCCGGCCTGGGCAATTCTATGATTCTATGATTCTATGAAACTGCTACTCCTGATTTGCTGGAGGAAATAAAGGGAATGGGATGTCCGATGGGGAGGAGGGGGCGCCGAGCCCAGAGGCCTCTGAACGCGTCCTGCTTCTGCAGTTCAAGGTTAAACATCTCCTTTGCACTAATTCCTGAGTCCGCCTCTCTCAAAAGCCGCGCCAGGTAATTAGAATCATTATCACTATTATTAGACCATAATATTATTATAGCATTTTTGCTACACTTGACATCTGTTGGCTGATAGATTTAACTGGTACATAAGAAATAATTGCGCAGAGATTTCTTGCAAATGAGCACCAACACGGAAGACATTAAAGCATTCTACATTGAAAAAGTTAATTTTATGGAAGCATGCTTGAAATAAAAATTCTAAAATTAACAGTTAAACTTTTAAAAACTCTCATTAAAGAAACTATTTGGGTTTAAAGTAGGCAGCCATTAAAAAAATCCTGCCTTTTCTTTAGATGCTTAAAGGCATATACCTTCCACCTTCCCTTTCCTCTCTCTGCAGCAGTCTTTGAATTATCTGGGCAAAGAGTCCAACTGTGCAGAGAACCAGTATAATCAGGACTCTTACAACCTGCTCACTGAAAATCCTATAGAATTATCAGAAAACACACATCTAGAATAAAATACAGCTTCTTGCATCCCACAAAGCCCAAAGGGCTTTGCAAAGGGGGCTCGGGATGCAATTTATCCACAACCGAGATTCAGCTGTAATCCAGAGTGGAACACAACCTTTCTACCAGTATTTAGCTACAGCACGCAGCCCCCCGGAGAGAAGGAAGGAAGAATCCAAGAGGAATGCTTTAAGGAGGCTGAGTTTTCTCCCCTGGAACTGAAACGTGGTCACAGCAGCCACTATCAGCCATGGATCGACAAAGGAGAACAAACAGGCCCCAGCTTCTCCATCCCAGGGACCATGTCCTTGAGGCACAGCCTGAGCGAGCAGCTGTGGCCAGGACCTCAAGCCACCAACCTCAAGAAGGGGAAGAGATGAAAACCACAGAGGAACCCTGTGTTGTCCTTGAATTCAGTGGGGCCCAAATTTCACCCTATAGTTACACCAATGCACAAAGAAAGATGGCACAGCAGCTGGAAGTGCACTTCAGAAAAGGACCAACCTCTTAAAATTCAAAAATCTGACCAGAGCAGCTCAGTACTTACAGAACCTGGAGGCGGTTAGAGCTGGTCCTGTTTGGACAGTGAGGTTTTCTCCAGTTAAATGAATTTCAGTTAAAGCAGCTCCTCTTCCTTCAGCTTAGTTTGTGCCGAGGTGACCAGCAGAGCCCTGGTGGAATGAGGTATCCTGCGAGCGCTCCCACAGCAACACACTATTTGGGGATAAAAATGAGTGTAATTAATTCTTCCAGAGCGAGTAATTTTTCCCCTAGAACAGAGCAACCACACAAGGAACTTTGAATTGCTTGAGGAGAAAAAAGTCTTTTTACTACCGTAGTCACATGGAGACAAGCCTCACTCTCACTGAGGACAGACCTACAGAGAAAGAAAGGGGAGCAGGACACTATGGACATGGATTCCCCCCATGCATACCCCTCTGTGAGCAAAGCAGAGACACCTGGGGACCCCTCAGTAGCAAGAAGGGCTGAGCAGCCACTGGGCTGCCTCTGAGTGATGCTAGTCCTAGCGGGCTCCAGAGAGAAGCTCCACTTAAATGAGGTTCATGAAAGCTCTTGAGAGTCACCCGACTCTTCAAAAATGGGACACAAATCCCCCTCTTTGGAGATCTGCCTCTGACCAGCACAAGGGTGTTAAAGCAGCCTTTTCATTCCATCCACCTGACATTCTCAGGCAAACCACGGGACTCCGACTAGGTGAGCTTACCTTAATGAGGCACAGTGCTAATTACTAAGTAAGAAAAACCAAACCAAAGCACAACAAAGCAACTCCCCCCCACGCACACCTTAGGGGTAGGTATCAACAATTCCCCGTCACAACAGGAAAAAAACCTCACGTATGGGCCCTTGGAGCTCAGTCCAGGTCTGCTGCTATTCATCCTTTTCATTAACGGCCCAAACGATGAAAGAGAAAGTACTTTTATAAAACCTGAAAGGATGCCCAGCAGTTAAAAGCTGGAAGCACTCTGGAGGTCATGATGAGAATTGATAAAATGAAGAAAAGTTCCAAAACCACTCGCGAATCAATAAAAAGAAAAGCAAGGAAAACAATGCAAAGAACTGCACTTGGAAGCAGCAAAAAACCAAAGATCGAGCACACAAATACAGCACGAGGGGAAGCTCTCTGGACAGAGGCAACACTGAAGAAAGTCAGGGACTGGATGAAAAATGTGACACGTCTCAGCACTGTGACACCACAGCTCCAGCTGCAAAGAACTAAAACATCATTCTGGAATTTAAGAACATAAAATTCCTCATTCTGGACTGGAAGGCCACACTCAGTGCCACCCCTAAGAAAGTCACCGACAAACCAAAGGGTCTGGGCAACGAGTGGAACAGTCAGTGGTATAAAATGTGCAGCTCCACAGCAGCTGCTGAAGCATTTCCCCATCCCTGCTTCCCTCCAGGGTCATTATCAGCTCTCGTTTGGCCTTTAACAGCTGTTTACAATAAGGTCTCCCCATTCTCTGAAGGCAAGAGACACAGCAGCCCACTTAATTGGTTGCACGGGTGAATTAGACAAGGTATCAGGTTCTGTGAGATCAGGATTTCATCAAGTCCCAGAGGGAACATGCCTCTCGTCCAGATCTGCACTAACATCCACTGCTGTCTGGTCTAGAGCTGAGTATCTCTCACCTGGCCTCAGGAGAGGGGCACGGACAAGGTTTTTCTAGCCCTGCATTTCATTTAGCATCCTCCATCTGGCCACTCCTACACCGCTACAGCAGTGACATCTTAAGAGCTAAATTAACAGCCTTCTCTTCCCCAAAATACAATAGAGCTCCTCATCCTGCCGAAAGGGCACCCACACAGCAACGCGGAACGAGCGTAGTCGTAACCGTTTCAATTCACGTCTTCATTACCTTTCATAAACGAAGCTCTTCAGCTCAATTTGCCACCAAGCTACTTTGGTGATGAAAACGGCCTTCCCACGCGCTGCAGGGTGAGGGATGCTGACCTGGGCTTCCCGTGGGGACGGGAAGGCTTCCCTCCTCCCCCCAAACAACCCCACCGACCCCTACGACGGCCTGCAGCCCATAAGGGTCATCACCCAGCTACAGGGGCAAGCCCTCCCTGCCCCAGGCAGGCTAATTTGAGGCAATGATTGCTGAAAGCAATTGAAATCACTGAAACAAGGTGTTTCAAAGTGGGCCAGAACAGCTGTGCCGGCGCAGCTGACGCCGTACGCACACAGCTGCACCAAACCCTGACCAAAGGCGCCGCAAGATATCCAGCAAGGGGCTAAGATCTACAAATCTTATGCAAAAGCAGGGCTTAACTTCCAGGAACATTTGAGATTTCCCAGTGACTCAAGAGGATTTTATCTTTTTTGAGTCAGAGCTTTAGGAGCAAGCTGCCTCGTGAACCGCAGCCAGGAAAGATTTGACAAAGCCTTCGTTAGCACGCGCCGTCTCCTTTCACGGGGCTGTTTCCCAGAAGATCCCCAGTGTTGTGTCATTTTTCACTTCAGGTGCTAAGAATATCTGCGTGTTAATAAAAAATAATAACTACCTTTATAGGGAACTTATCAACAAAGCGCTCGACAAATCTTAATTAAAGCTGATTCACCTACTTCACGAGTGCAAGTTAAACGCTATTTCTCAGAGGGGAAAGCTGAGTGGTAAGAGAGCTGAGGTGGGTTATAAAAGCCACAGAGGGAGTCAGTAGCAGAGAGGATTAGCACATAGAAAGGCTGACTAATTATCCCTAAATTTATCCCAATAATCCACTCCCTTGCAAATTCTCAGGGTATAGCTGATGGGATTTCAACCCCACCTGCCCAGCTTGACCACATCTGTATTGAAGCAGCCTTCCATTTCCTTTCCAGGTAAGAGCAGGCAGAGAGAGGGTTTGGGCAGAGCTTTTCAGGTGGTTTATGCTCAGGCTAAAGAAATTCTCAAGTGTAAAAAAGCAGAAGGTGGTGGTGGTAGCACCAGCGCTGGTCTGGTGTTGCTTTTGGGTGTGGTGGTGTGGATTCGAGGGCTGGTCTGACAACTCATTAGGAATTTCCAGTTCCCAGCTGATTTCTTTAAAAAGAACCTATTTGTATCCCCTTCAAATCTAGTAAATACACAGTCACACAGATGGCAGACCCCAAGAATTGATCTCACCTCTGACAGCTGTGCTCCTACATTAAAGCTTCTGGGGCAGTTATTTTTGGATGCTTCCACCATTGAAACACCTTGGAGGCCGTTGAAAAATACCAACGTGGTCCAGGCTGGTCATTTTAGGGTAGAGTTGGGGGGGGAGAAAAGACGGAAAAAAAACCAAGAAAGTCCATCTCTTAATAATCCTACTCCCAGAGCACAAATGAATTCAAAAGGAGCACAGAGAGCAGAAACGCCGCGGTAGCGTGTTCGGTGAACGACAGGGTGTGTCACTGGCTTCTAAACGCCACAGAGACTTATCTGCACTTAAAAGGTTTCCTACCAGGGCTGTGGGCTGGGGCAGCCTCCTCGGGCAGACGGCTCTGCCAACAGAAATGCCTGCGCCGCTCACACCGCTTCGGGAAGCAAATTAAGCAGTATCAGTGAAGTCGTACTTTCTGCCTCCAAGCCGTGTTTGTACTAGGTTAGCTCTATCAGCAAAACACTGGAAAATAAATAACTTGCCCCTAAGAAATTGTGCCTACAGAACTCGTTAGGGTAAACCTAGGCCATCTTGCGAGGCGGGTAGTGTTGATTATTTGTCAAAGATTACTTCTAATGCGAGTGTTAGTCAACCACTGAAGTTAAACATTTTAAGGCAGTATTCCAAATAGTGTTTATGTACAAAATCCCATTTGCTCAGTTTTCACTCCCTGGCTTTGTGCAACATGTAATTTCACTAGTTCTCCGGCAAGAGAGCCATATGCAAGCTTGTACCAAAATAATTAAACAGTTTTAAAATGCAGGCCTCGTGTTCACTACCGAGTGCATACCCTGAGGAAAAAATCCATTTTAATGGCCGAGAGCTACACCAAAGGTACCAGAACACTTTTAGTCCATAACTGCCCAGGTGCAAAGGGGCCTGAGGTGACCCAGCCTGGCCTCACGCTCAAGGCAGAATCCAAACTGCTCCTGTTGCGTTAAATTTGTATTTAAAACCCCTGGGTGTAAGGGATTCTGGCCTGTCCAGGCATCCTGCCCCACACTTTGCGGGTCGGCCACAGGGCCCCGATTTTCAGTCACTTCAAGCACACCACAGCCCAGGCACCTGCCTTGCCTTCCCGGCCCTGCCGGGGGCTGGGCCGAACCCCCCGGGCTCCCGACAAACGCCCTTATTCCACCCCAGCACCGGCCCTCGGGGCCCTGCGCCCTCACAGCCTGGGCCGGCCCCCCCATCAGCGGGCAAGCAGGGCGGCGGGCAGCCCCCGCGCCCCGGCAAGGCCTCACCGCCGGTTCCCCTCAAAGGAGGACACCGGCAGCACACTCTCCGGCGGCAGAGCTCCGTGCAGAGCCCCAGCCCCGACCCCGAGCGGCAGCCCGACCCCCGGGGGTGTCATGGCGGCGCCCCCCTCCCCGGCCCTCACTCACCGCTCCGCACCGCGCACGCTCCGCCCGGCCCCGCCCCAGGCCCCGCCCGCGCCTTTTGTGAGGCGGCGCCCGGCAACCGGCAACCGGCAACCGGCGGGTGTCCCGGGACGGGCCGGCGGGGCCCGGGAGGCCCTCTCGGTGCGGGTCAAACAGCCCGTCCCGGGCAGCCGACACCAGCCCCGCCCAGGTGCCAGGCCCTCGAGAAATCCGGTCACTGGGAGGGAGGGACTGACTGACTGACCAACCAACTGACCAACCGATTGACCCACCACCAGACTGACCCACCGACTGACTGACTGACCGACCGACCGATGACAGACCAACAGACTGACCCACCAACTGACTGACCCACCAATTGACCCACCGACTGACTGACCCACCAACTGACCGACCGACAACTGACCGATTGACTGACTAACAGATGACTGACAGACTCAGTTGACCAACCCAACTGATGACAGACCAACAGACTGACCCACCACCGGACTGACCAACCGACAACTGACCAAGCGATCGACTGACCAGCCAACTGGCTGACCAACAGACTGACTGACTGACCAACTGACTGACACAGCGACTGACTGACCAACGGGACTGACCAACTGACTGACAACTGACCAACCGATCGACCCACCAACTGATTGATTGACCAACAACTGACCGACTGACTAACAGCTGACAGACAGACTGACCAACCAACTGATGACAGACCAACAGACCGACCCACCAACTGACTGACCAACGCACTGACCAACTGACTGACTGACAACTGACCAACTAACAGCTGACTGATAGACTGACAGACCAACAGACTGACCCACCAACTGACTGACCAATGGACTGACTGACCAACAACTGACCAACTGATTGACTGACTGACCAACAGACAGTCCGACCAACTGACCAACCAACTGATCAACTGACTGACCGACCAACTGACTGACCAATGGACTGACTGACAACTGACTGACAGACTGACTGACCAACCAATGGTCAACAGCTTTCCCAAAAAACACCAGCTTGCTTTCATAGTGGCCTTGCACCACAGCTGTCCGTGAGCAGTCTCGGAGCACTGGGCCCCACAGGCAGCCCCAGGTGGCTCTGGGGTGTCACCAGGAGGGTCACGGGGACAGGCGCAAGCCCCCACATATCAATGGGGGTTGGCCTTCCCTGCTCTGGCCTCCACCTGTGTGCCAGGGTGTCCCCAGCTTCCCCCTGGGTGGGCGGTGGGGAAGGAGGAGGAGGTGACATTTTGAAGGTACGTGAGATGTAGCTGGCCTTACACATCGCATCTTCCCCGCCGCCGGCTGCTTCAGCACCCATTTTTATTTTTCACACCTTTTGAGGCAGGTGGTGAAGTTTCAGGTGAATACAAGGGTGTTAATTCACAGCCTTGGCACCTAACGTCCCCTGGACCGCGCTGAAGAGGAGGTGACAAAGTTGGACTGGAAGGTAGAGGGACGGCCGGGCAGCAGCAGGTGTGAGCCCACCGGTCCCTTCTGCCTCGTTAGCTCACAGCACCCTGCTGATTAAAATCAGCTGCCAAAGCATTTCCCACCCCTGTCTCAGCTGGTCACTGAGCATTGCAGGAATGGTGGAAAGGCCGCAGCCACGAGCTGTGTGACCCTCCTCCCTGACAAAGGCACCACCAGGCAGCGGCCAGAAACACCCTGTCGGCCCCCAAATTAAGCCTGCAATGTGTAATTATCCAACAAAGGATGCTCAGAGACAGCAAGTGACAACTGATGGCATGGCACGGTGTGAGGGGACTGGTGGGAAGCTGCGTGCCCACTCTGTCCCCTGGGCCGGTGTCACGGAACCATGGAATTGTCAGAGTTGGAAGGGACCTCTAGAGATCATCTGGTCCAACTCCCCTGCCAAAGCAGGAACACCTTGAGCACATTACCCAGGACTGCATCCAGGTGGGTCTTGAAGATCTCCAGAGAAGGGGACTCCACGACCTCCCTGGGCAGCCTCTTCCAGTGCTACATCGCCATCACCGTAAAGAAATTTTTCCTCATATTTGAATGGAACTTTCTATGTTCCAGCTTGAGCCCGTTGTCCCTTGTCCTATCGCTGGAAACCACTGAAAAGAGTCCGGCTCCAACATCCTTCAACTCACCCTTTAGATACTTATAAACATAAATAAGGTCTCCCCTCAGTCTTCTCTTCTCCAGGCTAAAGAGTCCCAGCTCCTTGAGCCTTTCCTCGTAAAGGAGATGCTCCAATCCCTTAATCAGTGTCCCCACACCTCTGCTCACCCATGCACCGAGCTTTGCTGCCGGCACCCACAAAGGTCCTGGAGGCAGGAGATGGATTGTAAGCAAATCCCAGCTTCCATTTCCAGTAACTGAAATGTTTTCAGGCTTTCCAGGTTGGATGTAAACACCTCAAAATGCGAATCCAGAAGCCAAACCCACGGAGCCCATCAGGAGAGCCCCACAGGTCTATTGGGGTTTAATGGTATGATTTTTCAGGCAGCTACGTGATTTCTGGCAAGATGTATCTCCTGGCCTTTGGATGTGTGGAAGCACTGCCATACTCCAGCCTCTTCCTTCTCCTCCCTTTGGGGCTCTGAGCCCTCTTAGCTCCCAGAGCAACATTGCCACCAGCTCAGGATGGGGTTTATCCATCCATCCATCCATCCATCCATCCATCCATCCCTGCCCAAACCCCGCCGTGGTTTCTCCAGTGGGGTAGGCGAGCTGAATCCAGCTCTTCATTTCTGGCAGGTGGAACAGCTCTAACAGGATGATCACCCATCTCTCTGAAGCCATGGTGAGCCCTCACTTTCAGACACAGCAATAAAACCCCTCCATGCGCCAAACCCAAGGTCAGCAGCCGGGCTGGGGGAAGAGGAGCTTGTCCCCAGCCACAGCCTAATGGTGGTGACGTTGCAGGGTGACAGCTCACTGGCCTCACCATCCCGTGACAGCCCCGGGTGGTTTGGGAAGCCTTGCTGAGATGCTTGGTCCATCGCGCCGCTGCATCCTCAGGCGATACCAGCCTAATCCCACTGTCTGAAACCGCTCGCACATCAAAGAGATTAGAAAACATGCTCTGCATGTATTATCTTTTGCATTTCAAGTTCTTCTGTTTGATCTGATGGGGTGGAGGGTTGATTTTTATTTTTTTTTCCAAAGGTATTGGAGAAGATGGGTGTGAGAGAGTAATTTAGGACTGGGAGTAATTTTTCATCAATGTACTTAAAGACAATCACAGCACTAGGAGGGAGGCCTAATTGTGGAGTTGTGTAATTAGTTTTTATGTCACTGCAATTATTCTGTTGGCTACATATAAAGAACATGGCAAAATGCAGCACTTAATTTTAAATCAAGACTTGATTCTCTTTTAGTAGGTAATTGATGTTGATCACATCACTTAGTAGCGACTATAAAATGTGCTATTTAGACTGTAAAAGGATGGAGAAAAGGACGGAGCAGATAGGTAATTGATGGATCGCGGGCTGCACTGGTGGGAGGCAGCATTAATCCATCAGACTTCAGCTGTCTTTGTTTCCAGCCACTTGTGGGCATCGTTAGTGGCCCCGAGCGTTAATGAGCGCAGAGCCGCTGATCCCCGCAGCATCACGGGGATCCGCAGTGCCCCGGACCGCAGCGGCAACCGAGGAATTTGCACTTCATGCAATTGATTCCTTGTGTTTAAATACCTTCTTTTAAGGGCAAGTTTTGCTCATAGCGCAAGGTTTGATTGGGGGCTGATCTCCCTGGGCACAGCATCCTGCCGGGTCCTGCCCGCTCCCCGGCACAGACCACTGGGCACCGCTGCCCATCTCCCATGGGCTGCCCACAAGCCCAGAGCCACTGGTGTCCCCCAAATACCTGCCACAGGGATCTTGGTCTTCCCTCATCAGTAGCATTCAGCTGTCCGAAAATCAGAGAAGCTGAGGCTGCAGAAATGGGTTATTCCCTGCAAAACAGCACTGGCAGCTTCTCAGTCAACAGCTTCTCAAGTTTGACAGTGAAGGGGCCAGAAGAGTTGGGCGAGTCCTACCTCTAAGCACCAACAAAAGAGCAGGAAGAGTTTTGTTCCCTTCACGCAGGGGGATACAAAACTTGTCCTCGCTCAGCACGAGCCCAGATCAATAGGTTGTCACCACGCTGTCACGATGAAGTTGATAAAAGCTTTTCCTTGCCTTTGCAACTGGCCCTAATAACTTGATTTCAAGGAATATTTGCTGCTTCCCAGGCAGGAGCTGTAGGTGAGACCGCGCAATCGCTGCAGGGACAGTTCTGAGGTGACCCCTGGGCCATCAGAAATTCTGATTTTCTCCAGGGAAAGGCATGTGGGTTTGTGTCCAGGGCCACCGTGTGCTCGGCTGGAGCCACCTCCCCTCCTTGGTAGGCAGGGGAGCCTTCTCCAGGGCATCCCAGGTGAGCATGGATTTGATCCCATCCCAGGGCAGAGGACATGAGGGATGAGAGGCATATTTCACCCAGATAATAAGCAAACTCATTAGGTCGAGTTTGCAGGTGGCAGGTCCGGGCTCTGCACTGCACGCTCACACCAAGATAGATGGAGTTGTGACCAGACAGTCCCTGGGAAGGGGACTGTCTGATATATCTCCTCTCCGGCCTTTCCTCCCTTCCACTCAGCCTTTTGTGTCATGCTGTAGCTCCAAAAAAAAAAAAATGAAATGAAATTCAGGCTCCTGCGGGTGTAATTGTTTAACGACCTGCAGCTCCAGCGCCGTGCATCACCTCCCCGCCACCGCCACAGGGCTGCCAGCGGCCGCTGCCCACGCTGGGATGATGAAACCCGGCT